CTAAGCTCACTTTATTTAAGGCGCCTCCTAACCAACCTATAAATAAAGGCCCTGGCAAGAACAGGACAGAAAAAGACAAGCAGAGCCACCAAAAGAAATGTTGCCCAGATTAGGGGCTGGTGGCCTGGGACCCATCCAAGACAGCCTAAAGAGCCAATCTGGTTATGGCAAGTTACAGGGAAGAACAGTTCCCCAAAACCTGATCAAAGAAGCTGGGACAAAGGCCCACAGGGTTCCAAAGAACCCTGCCCCTTCTCTGGGGCAGCTTTCTATCTTCTTTTGCCTCTCTACAAATAAAGTGTCTTCCTTTTTAAAACACCATCTCTCTAATTCATTACTCATGCTGAGTTTGGATCCCAGCTGGCTGCTCATCCCAGAGAAGCAGCGGTCCCCAATGTGGACTCAACAGAGACAAAAGCAGATGTGAAATCTTTCAATTTTGGAAGAGGCCTGGTGAAATGATATCTTTTCCAGTTTGGGGAAGAAATTCAGTTGAATTTTCTTACCTTCAGCCTCAGACACATTCAGTTCTACCAGACATGAGGTGATTAAAAGAGCCAAGAAAATGAGCCTTCTTAGGACCTTCATCTTCATAAAGGGCTGGCAGCCCTCAGGGATAGTGGGCTTTTATACTCCTCTGGGTTGACACACTTCCTGGGCAGCTCTAGGGAAACGTGTCAGTTTGGCCGCACACAAGGGGAGTTGCATGTGAGGAAACAGCGGGTGTATGGCTGTCATTGCCAGCAATCCCAGCAGTAAGCTCATTCCCCAGCTGAGGCCTGGAAGGGCTGCAGGCACTGCCTGCCTCGGCTCTCCCTCCATCTCAACAGCTGGCACAGCAGACACAAGTATAACATGAGGGAACAAACCTGGACATGAGCCTTGGGCCATGTCTGTGCAGACCACAAATGGGATAGCATTAGTGATATCTTAGGCCTTTGCTGCTCAGCGCCAGGAATTTCTATTTGGAGTTTGAAGACCCAGAGGAGTAGTGGGTGATGCAGCACCTGGGGCCACTCTGGGCCCTGCTGGGGCACTCAGATGCCTGCAGGGGCCTGACCCTGTGTGGGAAGAGAAGCCACAGGATGGGAAGAAAAGAAAGAGCAGGTCAAGCTCCCCTGCATGGAGTGCAACACACTCATGTTTGCAGAGGCTGAAGCAGGTGGATTGGAGTCCTGTAGGCACTGAGTTTGCAGCTCAGAGAAAAGAATCCTGGCATCATCGAAAGTAAGATGAGAAAGAGGAAGTGTGCATGTGGAGAAATTCATTCATTCATTCAGCAAATAATCATTTCTCACTGTCCCGGGGTCCGGGAATACAGAACTGAATACAGCTGAAGTGGGAAGGTATAGTCCGTGCTGTCACGGAATTTGCATTGCAAGTGGAGAGCGGATGACAAACAAATTCAAATTAGGGAGCGGCGCTTTGATTATTGTAAAATGGGGGCACTGGGTAGAGAATGGCTGCCTTGAGCATATGGGAATGATGATGCAACATTAAGGTAGAGGGAAGACACCTTGAGAAGATGAAACAAAGATGGGCAAAGGATTCATGTGTGGTCGGGCTTAGGAGTAGGGTGCACTTGAGATAAAGGGGTAAGTGTGAAGGCTCTGTGGCAGAAACTAGCTGGGCAACGCTGCAGTCCAAGAGAAGGATAGAAAGTGTGGTTGAATGTGAAAAGGAAGGAAAATGCAGGTGAAAATGAAAGAGAAAAGAGGAGAGAGGATGGGGAAGGCTCTTTAAGAAAAAAGACAAGTTTACATTTTATTCTAGGTTCACACGGAATTTTTCAGTTGAGAATGACATAACTGGCACATCTTTGAAGAGTCATCAAGCAAGCAACTCTTCTGGGCTGGAACCTTCCTGGCCACTTTCCTGGAAGAAGAGTGTTGTCATTGTTCTGACTGCTCCGCAGCCCAGGAACCCTCACCAAACCCCAGGAGAATGGACTCCGAATTGGGCCCCTGGATCAGAGGTTGGCCCCTCACCCAATGCTGCAGTGAGAAATTGGTGTTTGTAAGGAACTTCAGCCCCTGCCAAGTCCCCCACACAGCTCTGTCTCCTGGAAGGGGCCACAGAAAAGGCAGGGACTGGGTCTCCTGGAATGACAGTAAGCAGGAAATGTGGGTATGCTGTGGGCAGCCTTCCGGATACTAAGGATTGCTCACCATCAGTTGCATCCTGAAGCACATCCACCCTGAACTTTGTCTCTGAACTTCTCGCCTCTCCTGTAGCTGGGATCACCTAACTCCCTGATCCCTCATCACTGCTATGTGTGTAGTGCTTAGCTTTCCCTAAAGGAACAGAGTTAATATAAAATGTATGTATAATTACACAAAGAATTTACTAGGTAGGCTTATAGGAACAGAAGCAAAAGATTCCCAGAGGCCATCTGCCAGATCAGAAGTGGAAGAATAAAAAATGGCCATGTGCCTGTTGAAAGGCAGGGACTCAGTTGAAAGTCAAAGGTCTGAAGGTCATTAATGAGTCCAGGAAGATTCTGAGTCAGAAATCTGAAGGGTCTGTTTTGGAAGGCTGAAGAGTCTGCACTGGAAACCCGAGGGAACTAGAGATCAGCGTTCAAAGGCAATGGTGACCAGAACTCCTCTGGATAAGAAAAGGGCAGGCTTTCTTTTCATTCCAGGATGAATCTCCCCTCCTCAGCTTGAAGACCTACATGCCAGTCATCCACAAATACACACAAACCTTTACAGACCTTCTAGGCAGTTCTTATGCACATCAGGTTGATATAGCATAATTAATGACAATAACATGTCAGAATCTCGCAGTCTCCCCTGGAGGATGCTTGGCAAAAAAGGAAGGAAGGGGCTGGGATCTCAGTGACACTGCACCACCCTGTCAAGCACGAGGTTCAATTCTTGGCACCAAAAACCAAAAAAAAAGTTAAAGCAAAAAAAGGAAGGAAGTCGGGGATCTAGAGAGGAGAAAAGCCAGTTTCCGGCCAGTGGTCACAGACTATGGGTAGCCAGACCTCCTCTCATTGATCCATTCAGTTACTTGTGCAAGGCCCCACATGCCTCAAAGTAAAGCAGGCTGTGAGTGGTCCAGGGACTTCCTCAAGTGAAGGCAGAGCTGGGAAGTGAATTAAGTCCATGGGGCTCTAAAGCTGCTACAGGGGTCTCTGGCTTCGTGCCCACCTACGGGTGTCCTGGGGACCTTTTGTTCCACCTGCCTCACTTCCCTGCAATTCCTAGGCTGGGCCTATGTAAGACCACGCTGCCACCGGCTTCCTGGGGCTGAGCTAACATTCAAGTGCCCACTGTATGAGGTGAGAAGGGACTTCATGCTCCCTCTGCTTGGAGTTCACTGGGCACAAGAGAAAAGCAAAGCCAGGTGAGGAATGGAGACAGTAAGCTGGAAACTGAAACTGAACAGGTCATTCTCAGCTAGAGTTTCAGTGTAGCCTCCACGAAGAGCACTGATTCAGCTTCCAAAGCCAGCAGAGCAGTGAAGCCCCACCCACTTTTATCCAACACTGATATCCTGAGTTTTCTGAGTCAGCCAGACCCCCTCGACTAAACTCAGCCACTCCAAAGCCCTCTTCTAGTGCTCAGTACCAGGTTGGTACCTGTGGCCTAGATGCAGTGGTGGCTTCTTTCGTTTCCTATTCTGTTCTTTTGTTACCCTTGTTTAGTAGGTGGTCTCCTGTAACCAGTTCTTTATATGAAGTATATCTGTCATCTTCATCATGTGGGGCAGTGTTAAAGAGGAAGTGTACTGTCATTATAGGTAGAACATCTGCACTTAAGAGGTTCTAGGGCAGTGATGGTGAACCTTTTAGAGACGGTGTGCCTTAACTGCAACCCAAAACCCACTTATCAATTACAAAATGCCAATACTGTGATTAAACCTGAATAATGCAGTTTTTGTTTAGAAAAAAAAACAACTCTACCTTAACATCTGTTGTTTTAAAAGGAAAACAGAATACTATGTGCGCCATAGGTTGCCACCACTGCTCTAGGGGCTCAGCTGAAGGAGAAGTGACCCAGGCACATTCCTGCGCTTTGGTAAAGGGAGTCTAGTGGCCTTGGGCTAGAGTTTCCTGTTACAGTTGGAAGCACTGAAGGCTTGGATCAACACTTCATTGAGAAAGTGGTCCCAGGACAAGGCCATTTGCCTCTGAACATGGGGGAAGCCAGCTCGGGGACTCTCAGGTGTTCTAGTTGTCCTTCTGAAGCCTCTGAGCTCCATCCCATCACTACACAGGTCACACAGTTTATACCCAGAGATGTCCTGCCCAACTGTCCTCATTGTCCTGTGGAATAGCATCTGATTCAGGACATGTGACATCACAGACCCTGGCAAGGACGTGGGTGAGAAGGGAACCCCTTTAGGGTTGCTGAGCACACACCTCCAGGAGTCCATGAACACTTTCTTTCTGGGGTCAGAAAAGTGCTTAGCCACTCTTATTTTCTACTTACTACTTTAGCTTCTAATTGCCATATAATATTACAAGCTATTTCCCCAAGTCTCAAAGGAGGTATATCATACATATATGATATGTATAACTAAGAAAAAAATACTAAAGAGAGCATCATTTTCAATATTACACATTTATTCAAAAGTACATGAAAGAACATTTTATGCTACATAGTATAGGAGAAATATTATAGAACTTAATTTGAATAACAAAACAGTCTTCTAAGAAAAGTATTGCTCATGAAGATGTTTGTGTCCACCGATCCCACATCAGAGTCCCTCATATGTGTCACAAAAACAAGGTGGCAGAGGATCATAATCTGCATACATTTCGCATCCATCACAGAAGTGAAGGTTGGAGCAAGATTCAGCAGCAGCAGTTTCAGCCAGGAAGACCATGTCCTTGGTGTTGGCTGAGTTAGCCTCAAGATCACATTCCTTTCCATCCCTTAAGGAAAGACATATGCAAAGCACAGGCTTAGAAGTTTTCTTCTCAGTGTGTTTCATATAATTCTCAGGGCTCTTTGCGAAATTCAGGGCTTTAGCCGACCGCGCACATGACACCAGCCCTGGATTATAGCTCTCTGCCCCTGTGCTGAATTCTTCTCTCATCCCTTCCTCTCCTACAACTGCTGAACATGTAAACTAGGGTTACAAAAGTAAGGGAGAGTGACTTGCAAGTGGGCATTACCTACCTAGTTGCTGTAGGCCTTGAAAATGCAGGAATAAGGAGGAAGGGGCTAAACCTGGCTGTGTCCTGAGCTCCAGGGCTCATCTAACTCCCTAGAATGGGGACACCACTGCTGCTGTCAGTCTGTCCCATCTTTTGGATCCTCTCCCCAAAAAAGCACCACTTGCTGTCACAATGTTAAGAACATTCTACTTACTAGCTTACAGTCTCAAGAAAAAACCCAAACTCCTGTAGCCACCCATCTTTGCCTTTAATCTGCCTGTGGTTCTTGACCTCACCTAGGGCATGTCACCATTAGCAAGGACTAGCCCCGGCTCAGGCAGATGGTGTACCATTTCAGGAGTGTCGTTCACTCTAGAGGAGTGTAGTTCACTCTTATCCCCAGGACTCACTTCAGTGCCTTGGACAGTTTGACGTAAAGACAGATGACAACGCCTATTAGCACCAACATGGCCGCCAGGATCCCGCTAAAAATGATGACTAGGATCATTGTCCGGAGGTCAAAAGTCGCAGACACACCTGGGCCAAGAAGCACAGAAAAGCAGTGCAGGTTACCTCCCTCCCCCAATAGGAATGAGAAGCCTAGAGAAGGAGTAGAGTCCAAACGTGGATCTTTATATTTGTGAACCACCAGAGAATCTTCCCAGGGAGAACTTACAGTCCCCGTGAAACTAAGACACAAAATTTCTAGAGAAGGAAAACAGAATAACAGACAGTGGAAAGAATATTTACCTTTCAGAGGCAGTGATGTGACTTTATGTAATAAAAAGGCTTACAGTGCAAGGTGCAAGGTCCCG